AGGTCACAGAGTTTAGTGCAACACTGGGTCCAATCCACCAGAACCAGTTTCGGTTTAAGTTTCGTTTTTGACGTGCTGCGTTTCTTCACGTTTGCAGTTTAATAATAATAACTAATAGTTTAGTTTTTCCTGTGACTTATTTGCAGTTTGATAAATGGTAGGAGCATAATATACTCTCCCAATGTTCTGTTGGTCTTTTTTTGTAAATAATTACCTTTTTTTTTCAGTTTTATTTATTTATTTATTTTTGTATCTTGAGATCTATGACGTCATCAAACACTCGAGGTCTACTCGGGTTTTATTATTTTAATGTCGAGTTTAAAAATTATATACTCATTCAACCCCATATATATATATATATATATATATATATATATATATATATATATATATATATATATATATATATGCACACACACATACAGTGAGGAAAATAAATATTTGAAGACCCAGCAATTTTGAAAGTTCTCCCACTTGTAAATCATGGAGGGGTCTGAAATTTTCATCTTAGGTGCATGTCCACTGTGAGAAACAGAATCTAAAAATAAAAATCCAGAAATCACAATGTGATTTTTTTAAATAATTTATTTGTGTGTTACTGCTGCAAATAATTGAACACCTGCCAATCAGCAACAGTTCTGGCCCTCAAAGACCTGTTAGTCCACCTCTAAAAAGTCCACCTCCACTTATTATTCTAAATTAGAAGCACCTGTTTGAGGTGGTTAGCTGCATAAAGACACCTGTCCACCCCACACAATCAGTAAGACTCCAACTACTAACATGGCTAAGACCAAAGAGCTGTCCAAAGACACCAGAGACTAAATTGTAGACCTCCACAAGGCTGGAAAGAGCTATGGGGCAATTGCCAAGCAGCTTGGTGAAAAAAGATGAACTGTTGGAGCAATTATTAGAAAATGGAAGTAGCTAAACATGACTGTCAATTTCCCTCGGACTGGGGCTCCTTGCAAGATCTCACCTCGTGGCGTATCAATGATCCTAAGAAAGGTGATGAATCAGCCCAGAACTACACGGGAGGTGCTGGTCCATGACCTGAAGAGAGCTGGCATCACTGTTCTATTTCGTATAGGCTTCGCCCTTTAAGAGCTGTTGCTGATGGGTTTATCCCGATATGCAAAGCACTGCACTGAAAAATTTAGTCCACACCCACCTGCTGTGTGGGCCCCACCCGGTCCGTATAAATTACGTTAAGAGCGGGAAATTGGCTCCCATTTTTCTTCAGTGAGCTAATAGCACTGTCAGAAGAACGAAGAAGGAAAGTTGTGTAGATGACCAACCTTTGTTAAGAATGCTTGGCCCGTCATGTCGACCTCCGGTCGTCCCAGTGAGCTCTCCTCCCCGAGGAGAAGCTGACGAGCAGTTTTGTTTCAAGGTAAGCGCCGAGGAGTATTTCTCAGTGACGGGTTGCTACACGCTGGACAATTCCATCTTGTAATTTTCCTCTTATCGCCGACCCTCGGAGCGAATCGGATGGTTCCTCCGGGACAGGCCACGTCAGCTGCAGCCCCCTGCTGCTCATTCCCTCCTGGAGAGCGTAGTGTCGGTGG